TATTGTTTGTACCCCGTCGCGCCCCCATCCAGACCGGGTCATAGGACGCCGTACACACAGGACCGTATAGCGCCGCCAACCAAGGCAAATCCGGAGCCGGATTTTCAACCCCATACACCACCACCCCCCATCCTGCTTGTTGTGGCACGCCAACTCTCCCAGCACTGCCGCCCGACCCGTCAGTAAAAAGAAACCACTCCAAAGGAAGAGGGTGTGCTGAACCCCGATCAGGACCCCCCACCTGTTGCTCATGGTCAATATGATCGAAACGCGCGAGACGCCGTTTAGCCGGACATACATGGTCTTTAAGTTGTTGTGCCCTCCTGAACACCTGGGAGCATGTGTTACACTTGAAGGATTGTACCGTGGTGAGAGTAGGATCACACATCGAATGCTCCGCTTCGTAGTGGAATGCCAGCTGATTCGTTTTGGAGAAAGTTTCGCCACAAACCGGACATGTAGGTACCCCCACTCCTCGTTCTGCCCGTCTGTCCATCCGCAAGCGCCTCGGGCGACGACCGTACGACCTTGCTTCCGGCTCTTCGTATCCTCCTCTCCTGCGTTCCCCCAATTCCTCTTCGCTGTTTGAAAACTCCTGCTCCGCCGGATCCTCCTCCCTTGGACGCGCCCAAACCGGTATCGGGTCCCCCAGCCTCCACTGATCTAACTCCCTCTCCCGTTCGACTAGAACCTTTTCTACCGGAAAAGCCCCGTAAACCAACTTTTTCCACTCTGCTCGTTCCTGCGCCAACCTAAACCAGTCCATGTCTGAGATGTTTGCTGCCCTAAGACATGCGTTGATCCATTGCGCCTGCTTAAACGGACACCTCTGTTTTGCCTTAGTGCCCTCAATCCATCCAAAAAGGATCTGCTTCTGTGGTTGTGCTGTTGTCATTCTGGCGACATGCCCCAACCACATTAAGGAGGCCCTACGTACCGCACTCTCAAAAGATTCCCACTGTACCATCCTACGCATCACCGCGTTCGTTAGTCCCTGTCTTCTCAAGTCCTGTATCCTGGCATTGAACACCCTCCGAATGGAAAAGTGGATGATGTTCTGCATTCTGTGCACCTGATTCGTTTGCCACGCCCGGGTGCGACAAAAAGTCAACAGAATCCCCTTCACAGCCGCTTTCAAAACCTTGACTCTTACACTCTTTTTGAGGTCATGTTTTCGTCTCTTTGCAGCCTTGCCTCGAGTCCACGCCGCGGATATTTCCTCAATCTTCTGAACACATTTCCTGGCCGCCCTTTCAGTCTCCGCAGCATGCCCCGCCCGTTCCGACAGCATAGCCCCAACGTGTTTCACCTTCAAGCTTTCCCCAAGCCATGCCACATCAGTACCTGGTCTTAACTCCGTCTGCACTCGCGAGCCCTCCGTTTTCTCAGTATTGACGGTTCCTGCAAAGTCTGTTACGGTTTGCGTGAACAGTGTTTCCGCTCCTACAACCTCCTCTGCATCACCAACTATACCCGTATCGTCCGCGTATGCGAAGTCCCCGATAACACACCTCCTTGTATGTCGCCCCTCGTCCTCCCGATCTGTTTTCCTTTTGGCTACACGACCATCTACCTTATAGGTCCATACCAACCCAGGTGTGGTTCCCCCCACTTCCGCCGCTCGGCCGCGTCCCATGGTGAAAAATATTGAACAAAATCGGCGACGAGGGACAGCCTTCGCGTAACCCCTTGTCCGGAACAAAACTAGTGGATTCCATGCCTTGCAACCTGACCTTGCTGGCCGTCCCTTCATGTATTGCCTTCAGCACTTTCCTAAATCCTCGTGGACATCCTTTCCTTTCCAAAGTGCGCCATAGAGCATGCCTTGCCACCTTTGGATAAGCCTTCTCTAAGTCATAAAAGCGCAACAGGTATGTGTTTCCATGGGTAGACTGAGCTGCTTCCTCCATCAAGCGTCGTGAGACCTGCTGCACATCGTCCACACCCGACCCCGCCCGGAACCCAAACTGTAGCGAGTTTAGCCACGGTTGACACCACCGTTGGAGTCGCATAGCGCATATCCGAGCCACCAACTTTGACCCCACCGAAAGTAAGGTTATCCCCCGCCACGTGTTCTTGTTCTTCCTATCCCCCTTCTTTTTCCATAGTGGGATAATAATTCCGACTTTCCACTTGGTGGGCCATGAAGCATGTTCCAAACCATCCGGCGCCCTAACGGCTTCCTCCCAACACTTCCGGACCAGCTTGTACAACGACTTCTGCATCTCAACCCCTCCCAGCTTCAGATATTCAGCCACCATGGTGTCTTCACCCCCAGCCTTACCTCTCTTCATCGCATTAACCGCTCTTTTCACCTCCTCCCATGACGGTAAGTCCTCTAACTCCTGGCTTTCGTCCCGCCCTGCCATGTCGTCCCGCACATCCTCCGCTACCTCCCCTGCTCCTGCCTGCATTGCTTGAAAATGGTCCTTCCATGCCTCGACCTCCTGTTGGTTCATCCCGTGTAAAGTGCCCCCATCCGTGCGCTTGCGGTTAATCCCTTGCGTGAGTTCTTTCACCACCTTGAACACCATCGACGCATTTGGGCGATGTACCACCTCGTTGGCCTCTTCCGCTTTCGACTTGAGCCACGCCACCTCCCATTCCCGTAACGACCGTGCCTTTTCCTTCCTGCGACGTCTAAGCTCCTGCCTAGCCCGACTTTTAGCCACATCATCCCCAGACCTTCGCGCTGCACTGTCCTGTTGTTTGGCCAGTAAGACCGCTTGGTCAAGCTGCTCCATCTCCGCTCCTTTGTTCCGCAACCATGGCGCGCCGCGATGTGTTTGAAGGATCCCACATACCTCAAAGGACACTTCCCTACATATCTTGCAGATACCCTCCCATTGTTGCTCCGCTCCTGCATCCTGCAGTTGTCGCTGCATCTGAACTAAACGAGCTTCCACCTCCGCCGTCCACTTACGTCTCAGATCCTCTGCCGTTTGTCCAGGCCCTGACATGCGCGCAATATTGGGTTTTGGAATACCATGCTTCTTTCGAGACGTGTCAGTCCACCTCTGCCCTACTCTTAGTTTAACCGACAGGGGGTTGTGATCCGTGTATTCCGTCCATGGCGCCCGTACACTGGGTCCTTCCATAAGAACTTGTGCACTCTGCAAATGCCACAGGTCGTCATGATGAATTAACACATGATCCAGTTCGTGCAGGGACCTAAACCTCGGGTGTCGCCACGTCCACCTATGTCGAAGTTGATATCTGCTCGCCGAATCCCTAAACCCATGTCTCCCGCACCATTCTCGCCATTCCTCGCCCGCCGTGGTAACCTTAGCCGCCGCAAATGACCCTACCACTTCATTGTTCTGTCTTCGATTGCTTTGGTTGTTTCTCATTTCTGCGTTAAAGTCCCCTACCACCAGACGCATGCTTGTCGCCTGGGCCAACCCCAGCACCGTATCCACCTCCTGTCGTACCGCCTGTCTCGCTGCTTTCCCAGACGCGCTCGTAGGAGCATAAACGCAGCTGAGGAAGAGGCCCCTGCGCCATCCCCTCCTAGGCATCTGTATGCCTGCTACTCGCAAAGACCGAGAGTACAACACCCCGCCTCCCTCCTGCCACCACGAGTGCCACGAATCCGACATGAGAAACCCTACCCTCCCCGCAATGACCAAAAACCGATCCTGTCCCGCATGCCGAAACCTCCTGACTCCATCCTCTCGATACTTTAGATCTGTCAAACCTATCACATCCCACTTCTGAATCCGCATTCGCTCTAATATGGACGCCATCTTGAGTTCCTGATCTATTTCCCCGGCCTCCGCTCCAAGCCCTCGCGTGTTCCATGTAGCGATATTTATACTGCTACAAAGTCGCTTGTTTTCCAAACGTCGTCGCCTGAAACGTTGTGCTATAATTCTAGTGCGATGCTTCCGGATGTATTTTATTCGTCGCGTAATAATAGCCAGTTTCCTGCCCAGCATTCGTCTCCTGCGCGATTGCGCTGGGTCCGCATTTAAATATATTCCTGCCAACTCCTGCTGTAGTCTATCCTTCTGAGCTCTTAGCCTCCCCATATCTGTCGTTCCAGTATCCCCACGTAAGAAGTATGAACAGCTTGCCGCGTAAAGCCTCTAGATACCTCGACACCCAAGCGGTATTACACGTGTGCCTGAATCCCAAACTAAAGGTTTCGTTCCCGAAAACCGTGGTGACCCCCTGGCAGACACCTTAGGGTCCAACCCCGTGACCACTCAAGTGAAACAACACCCGGTGACAAACCGCCGACCACACGGGTTGCCCCGACCGCCCCGACGCCACCCGATACCACACCCCCAGGCAACCCCCGTGCATCAGCCTTACAGGGAGGGTACAAACGCCAAGTTGGCATCCGACCCAACGGCCCCAAAGGTTTGGGCCGAGACGGCGATAGATGGTTGGCAATCCCGCTCCCCTCCTCCCGTCCTAAACCGCGCGCGTTCATGCTAGAGTACCTCAAGGAGACTCCTGCCTGCCGGCAGGTATGGGGTTAGCACGTGCCTTCGATGAGAAGCGCCATGTGGGTTTTGTAGCGATGTTTTCGGTATGTGTCTGATCTCTCTTCTTTCTCGTCTGAAGACCTACCTAGCACAATACAGGTGATGCAAGCACACAGCACAAGCATGCAAGGGACATGACTGACATGTAAGACCGCAAGGCAACCATTTGATACCGCGTACCTCTCGCAGGTAACTACTGCAGTCCGGCACGAGTGTCCGCGCACCGCCCACGAGGAGGACGTAGCCAACCAGTGGTGCGCGCCAACCGGCCAACCCGTGCAATACGGGCACAATGCATGCCCATGTGGCAACCGTCACCCCTTTTCCGGTCAAGGTCGTTTCCTACTTCCTTCCTCATGGAACGTTTCGACCCGAGAATCCCAAGTCAGAGCCAGGCCGAAAGGCCCCAGAACCACAGCAGCACGGGCGTGTTCAAACCATCGTCGGACGATTGGCTTATCGTACTTCGGCAGGGTTTTCCTGTGCGCAGGAGGCGGCATCGCCGCCATGGCCTTGAATGCATGGAAAGGGAATCTCCTGTGCCTCCGGCTCAAGGCTTATGGAACCAGAACTCAGAACTCGGACGCGTGAAAGAAGAACTGCTTTGCTAAATGCCAGCTGAGGCAGCGGCGCCAGCGCGAGCAGCTTTACGTCGCCAACAGCATATTGGCGGCTGCCTTGCTCACGCTGCTCCTTTTCATCGCGGCCTTGGCCTTGAGGAAGCCTTAAACCGTAGCTATGCCCTGCGCTTTACATGGTGTAAGGCAGCCGAAGCGGAAGCAGAAGCATCGCCGTGCACCATGACCATCGTGGCACTGACGCTGTCGCCCGACGGCTTTCCCCACCTACCTCCGCACAGGTTCGGTGTGAGCCCTGAGCTAAGGTTTCTTGTGGCCTTCTGTTGCGCCCGGGCTCCCAGAACAGGGCATGGTGCACGCCTTGTGATGGTTTCTCTCAAAGGCTTTGCCGTACTACCTGGTCCCCAACCTTTTTGCTTTTGACCTAATGGGCTCAGAGTGCGCCACTCTGATTGGTTTCTTCGAGCCCCGACCTCGGCAGAGGGGCGCTGAGGCGAGGCAGCCAGGCAGTCCAACAGCTGAGCTGAGGTTGACGTCCTTCTGCAGCATGATGCCAGCTTTTCGCTCAGCGTTGTTGATGGCAGGGCTAAATTCGGGTGTACATCGTGCCGAGGCGCACATGGTGCTGCTGCATATAGCCCGGAGGCCAAGTCCTTCCGATCCACTCTTTCCACCCTACTTCCGCTTCTCGTGATCCGAGCTCGACAGTCTTCCTGCAAACCAGTCACGACAACCCTCGTTCTGAACACAAGGTTGAACCCACCAGCCAGGGAAAAGCGTGATGACTCTGAAGAAACTCATGTCGATCGCCGCGAGCGCCACTGGAGCGTCTGTGCGGCTGTGTGCTGCCATTAAGGCTGGGACGATGGGGTGGACGTATGCGCTCCTGCAGATGGTGTTGACCATGTGCTGCGCTGCGATTTTCCTGGCCCTTCTAATACCACAGCTTCTCGGATGGCAGCCGGGAACACATGGGCATGGGCAGCATGGGCACGTGAGTGGGGACTGCAGCTTTCAGGTGGCGAGCACTTGTCAGCCGCTTACCAGAGTCGCGAGACTCGGCTGGAGCCGTCGAAGACGGTCATATTTCCAGCTACACCTCACTTAAGCAAGAGAAGCTCAGCTGACGGCCTTATGAAGTCCCGTTCCATTTGAAGCGGCAGTCGCAGCTCATGCTCTCGCTCTCAATCCCAACGAGGGCCGAAGCGAAATGCGCAAGGAGCTAAAGGACTGAAGGGTGTGGCTGCGCCTCTTTTGACTCTGAGCGTCGCCCTCGCAGTGCCGGGATCGAGCTATGGACGTGCCCTGGCAGACGGTAGGGCCATGGGCAGCATTGGAACGCCCACAGGCGCCACTCTCCAGGCGAGGTGAGGATGTGAGAGCACAGGACCGAGGCTGTCAGGTGCTCTTCTATTTGGTCTTCTCCTAAACCCAACAGTCCCCCCCACCCGTACATCCACCCGGTTGCCGCACCCACCAAAAGTAGATCTATCTATCTATCCATCTATCTAGTCAAAATAGACATAAATGTACATGTATACTAATGCAGTTAGTTAGCTGCTTAGTTGTTCATTTCGCAATTTTAACTTAGAGGTCTATTTGTTTATTTGTTTATCTATTTGTCTATCCGTGTATGTGTGTGCTTGTTTTTTCGTTTATGTTTGCTGGTGTGCACTCCCTACTCTTGCTTCTTTGAGGAGTCAGTAGCTAATGGAATCACAGCTTCCTTCAGCAGTGCCCTTCCCCCCAAGAGACGTTTTTCGGCAGAGACGGTGAAAAAGAGCCCCGAGGTAGGTCATGGGGAGGTGTCCACATACGTGTATATATATATATATATGTATGTATGTATGTATGTATGTATGTATGTATGTATGTATATATATATACATGTAAATTTATGGTACCCCCCCCCCCCCATTGACCTATCCTTTTTGGTCTTTTTGAAAGGCAAGGGTGGGTCGGGGCGGGGTGTACCCGAATGGAGCGGCGTTCCCAAAGACCTAGTTTCTTAAAAGACTCAATCTTTCGGAGGTCGAGAGAGACTGTATCCAAAACCAAAAAAATTCAGGCCTCGCAGCACCTTGGAACTCTGGGCGCTGCAAAACACTGAGAGGCCTCAATCTTTTGGAATCCCGAACCTCAGAAAAATTGAGGCCTCTCAGTGTTTTGCAGCTTCCAGATTCCAAAACACTGAGAGGCCTCAATTTTTTATGATTTTGAAGCCAAAACGCTGGGAGGCCCCAAAAGTCTCAAAAGACTCAATCTTTTGGAGGTCTTGGGAAACTATAACCAACATCAGAAAAATTGAGGCCTCTCAGTGTTTTGCAGCTTCCAGATTCCAAAACATTGAGAGGCCTCAATCTTTTGGAATCCCGAACCTCAGAAAAATTGAAGCCTCTCAGTGTTTTGCAGCTTCCAAATTCCAAAACATTGAGAGGCCTCAATCTTTTGGAATCCCGAACCTCAGAAAATTTGAAGCCTCTCAGCACTTTGGGACTGTGGGAGCTCCAACACACTGAGAGGCCTCAATCTTTTTATGATTTTGAAGCCAAAACGCTGGGAGGCCCCAAAAGACTCAAAAGACTCAATCTTTTGGAGGTCTTAGGAAACTAGCCTTAAAATCAATAAGATTGAGGCCTCTCAGTGTTTTGCAGCTTCCAGATTCCAAAACACTGAGAGGCCTCAATCTTTTGGAATCCCGAACCTCAGAAAAATTGAGGCCTCTCAGTGTTTTGCAGCTTCCAGATTCCAAAACATTGAGAGGCCTCAATCTTTTGGAATCCCGAACCTCTCAGTGTTTTGCAGCTTCCAAATTCCAAAACATTGAGAGGCCTCAATCTTTTGGAATCCCGAACCTCAGAAAATTTGAGGCCTCTCAACACTTTGGGACTGTGGGAGCTCCAAAACACTGAGAGGCCTCAATTTTTTATGATTTTGAAGCCAAAACGCTGGGAGGCCCCAAAAGACTCAAAAGACTCAATCTTTTGGAGGTCTTAGGAAACTAGCCTTAAAATCCATAAGATTGAGGCCTCTCAGTGTTTTGCAGCTTCCAGATTCCAAAACACTGAGAGGCCTCAATCTTTTGGAATCCCGAACCTCAGAAAAATTGAGGCCTCTCAGTGTTTTGCAGCTTCCAGATTCCAAAACATTGAGAGGCCTCAATCTTTTGGAATCCCGAACCTCAGAAAAATTGAGGCTTCTCAGTGTTTTGCAGCTTCCAAATTCCAAAACATTGAGAGGCCTCAATCTTTTGGAATCCCGGACCTCAGAAAAATTGAGGCCTCTCAGTGTTTTGCAGCTTCCAGATTCCAAAACACTGAGAGGCCTCAATCTTATTGATTTTAAAGCTAGTTTCCTAAGACCTCCAAAAGATTGAGTCTTTTGAGTCTTTTGGTGCGTCCCAGCGTTTTGGCTTCAAAATCATAAAAAGATTGAGGCCTCTCAGTGTTTTGCAGCTTCCAGATTCCAAAACATTGAGAGGCCTCAATCTTTTGGAATCCCGAACCTCAGAAAAAATGAAGCCTCTCAGTGTTTTGCAGCTTCCAGATTCCAAAACACTGAGAGGCCTCAATCTTATTGATTTTAAAGCTAGTTTCCTAAGACCTCCAAAAGATTGAGTCTTTTGAGTCTTTTGGGGCCTCCCAGCGTTTTGGCTTCAAAATCATAAAAAGATTGAGGCCTCTCAGTGTTTTGGAGCTCCCACAGTCCCAAAGTGCTGAGAGGCCTCAATCTTTTTGAGTCTTGAATCTGAAAAAGATTGGGGCCGCTCCAGGTTTTGCAGCTCTCACAGTTCCAAAGTGCTGAGAGGCCTCAATCTTTTGGAGTCTTGAACTTGGGGCCGAGAATATCTGGCCACATTAGTTTTCTGCTTCTGCTGCCATTTTTTGTTGTTTGTTTGGGGCCCTGGGCCCTGTTACTCTGTTACTCTCATACTCTTATACTCTATGACTCTATCACTTTTTGCCTGTGACCCTGTTACTCTCTTACTCCAAAAGCTCTATTACTCTATTACTCTAGTACTTTATTAGTTTATTACTCTGTTACTCTATTACTTTATTACTCTATTATTCTATTACTCTATTACTCCATTACTCTATTACTCAAATACTCTATTACTCTATTACTCTATGACCCTATTACTCTTATACTCTCACTCTATTACTCTATTACTCTATTACTCGATTACTCGATTACTCTATTACTCAAAAAAACTCTATTACTCTACTACTCCACTAACTCTATTTATTACTCTATTACTCTATTTACTTTATTTCCTCTATGACTCTATGACTCCATGACTCTATTACTCTGCTACTACCCCTACTCCTACTACTACTACTACTACTACTGCTGCTACTAATACTACTACTCGTACTACTAATACTGCTATTGCTACTGTTACTGGTACTGCTTTTGTAACTGTACATAGTCTGCGGGCTGGCTGTTGTGCTGTATGCTTTTATGCATGCTCTTCTGTAATTCGTATTCATAACATTTTTGGCTCAAGTGAGCACGGCAGAGTGTCGTTGGTAGCTTCTCGTTGCCGCGACGCAATTGCGCGCAGCCCGTCCTGGGCGGACGTTCGACCTGTCACGGTCGTTGGACTTTCTGCTTGGACGGAAAACGAGGGTGCGTGCTGCCCCTTTGGGTTTCCGTTCTCCACAATTGGGGGCTGTTCTGGGAAACGGCCACCCAGGCGGCTGCTGCGCCGCAATCTTTTAACGTGGCCTCGAAGGCGCGCTTGTCGTGCGCCTTGAGGCCGTGGTCCTGTGTGGCACGGGGCTCTCTCCTTCGCTAGGCGACCATGAGCGCTGAGGTCGCAGGTCAGCCGGAAGGAGCCACGTTGCTGAGGTGCATCGAGGATGGGTCAGTGGAGTACCCGGAGAAGATGCCCTTTATGTACTGGCTCCGTTGGCGTAAGGAAACGGGGTCCCGTCCCACCAAGAAGAAGGACGGACGATCCACGACGCTAGCAGATGAACAGCGTCTGTGGAAGGAGACGATGGAATTCCTCTACGACAACTTCGATGCCGAAGAGGAAGAGGAAGAAGATGAAGAGGAAGATGAGGAAGCTCCAGCTGCGGAAGCGGGCCCGGGTGCTCAGGATGGCGATCCGGGCCCCAGCTCTGAAGAGCTTCTGCCGGAGGCCGGGGTACCGGCTCCGCGTCCTGCCGCTGCGCCGGCGGACGTGGCCGAGACGGCGCGCCGTGTTGGTGCGCTTGCTCTCTCGCCGGTGGCCGGCGGCCCGGCCCGTTCCGGGCCTCCCTCGTCTGCTGGGACGGGTGGTCCCGTCACGGCGGAGACCCTGCAGGCGGACCTGCGGGAGCTCTACCGTCCCGACCAGGAACCGGTCGCGGATTACCTGACGCGGGTTTCAAGGCTGGTTGTGGCCTTGAAGGCGCACCAGGCAGAGGTCACGGTGGAGGATCTTGAGAAGATCACTACCAAGGCCACCATCCTTGCCGAGGAATACGGCAAAATGGGAGGTGACTGGCACCCTGCCAGGATGGTGCGGGCCCTGCGCACCAGGTTTACCGTTGCCGCGGTTTCTCTTGGGTCGGAAGACCGAGAGGAGGTCGAGAAGGAGATCTCGTGCCTCGGCGAGCTGATCTTGGCCCTGGGAGGCAAGAGCAGCGGCGATCCCGAGAAGGTTTGGAGCACTCCTTCTTCTGTCCCGGCCCTGGCGGCCCGGACGGGCGCCGTTGCGGAGTCGGGCTCTAAGTCCGGAGCACCGGCGCCTCTCCCGGTGGACCTTCAGCTCGCGATCCCTGAGGATCCGCAACCTGGTCCGGGGGACTCACCCCTGAAGTCCCGCCTTGCGGCTCTGGAGATAGAGCTCGAAGGGCTTAAGAAGGATAAGCCCGGCGAGCCTCACTCCGCCAGCGGCGGAGCCGGAGAGCTCGCTGCAGCTTTGGCGGCCCAGACCGAGGCGCTCAAGGAGGCCTTGGCGTCTCGCGGAGGTCAGACGTCGATCACGACCGTGAAGACGGACCTCCAATGGCCCTCGCTCACCGACGATCGCTCCGACATCCGGGACGTGGTCCAGTTCTACGAAGAGTTCGAGGACGTCTGTGGCCTTGCCAACAACTGCAAGGGGATGAATTTCCGGGAGAAACTCATCGCCCTT